GTTGGACACTGGGGCTTGGAGCAGCCTGGGACAGTGGAAGGTGTCCCTGCCCATGGCAGGGGTGGGAATGGAATAACCTTGAAGCTCCCTTCCCACCCAAACCATTGTGGCATTGCCGTGTCTGGTTTTTATCATTCTTGTCTTTAGGAGCTTGCTGCAGATCTTTCTGAGAGAAGAAAGGAGAAGTAACACCAAGCATTGCTCGGGAAAAACAAGTTGTGTGTGGGATTGTTGGGTGGTGTTCCAAGTCCCAGGCATGACTGAAATAATGCTATTAAGAAACAGTATAAAGGGAAGAAAAAAAAAAAAAAAGCTTGATTGTGTTCAGGGATATTTTGTTTAAAACATTCTCCTGCCCCAGTCAGGGTAAGGTTGTGTAAACTTGAGTGGTCGATGAGCTTTTATGCTTTTCTATTCAGATAAAATTTCTATTTCAGATAAAATCACTGCGGTGTGCTTGTAGGAAACCAAATGTTTTTCTCTTCACCACTAACCAAGTGAAGGAGAGGTTTGACCCTTTTTCTCTGGTGTGAAATGGTGAGAAAGTTTAAAAATCCTCTGTCCTGCAGAGCATTTCAACTCCATACCAAGAAATATTTACAGCAATTTTCTGAAATGGTTTTTAGGAGTGAATTTGGTTGACTAGAACTGAGTTCAGTCATCGGCAGTGAAAATTATTTCTGTCTTCTTTTCTGTATAAATTAAGGATTAATTGGAGGAAGGGAAACATTTTCCCTTTTCAAAGATATATCACCTGTAATTGGCACTTCTGAATGTCTGAGGTGCTCACAGAAGTACAACAAGACAAAGCCCCCCCAGCCCACAGCCTGCTCAGGAGTATAATAATAATAATAATAATAATAATAATAATAATAATAATAATAATAATAATAATAGTAATAAGTTTGATAACTCTGCCTGCTCTACCTTGGGCTCCCGAGGATTGCTGAGCCTTTGGCCCGGGGGAGGAAAAGGAATAAATTAACTTCATTGAGCAACCTTGCTTCTCTTAAGTCGTTCTTTTTGTTGTTGTTGGTGGTTTTTTTTAATAACAATAATAATCAGAGGCTGGGGAGGCCCCTGGATCCATGGAAGTGTCCAAGGCCAGGTTGGACATTGGGGCTTGGAGCAACCTGGGACAGTGGAAGGTGTCCCTGCCTGTGGAAAAGGACTGGAAAAGGATGACGTCTCTTCCAACAAAGAGCATGAAGTGGGAGATTTCAGCTCCCTCCTGCTTCTTCTGCTTCCTAGATCTAATTATTCATTCTCACTTCCAGAGTAATTTGCAAAAAAAAATGATGTTGATGTATATAGGAATAAATGGTTTGTACAAGTCTCTGGACTAATATTGTCCCTTGGTTTTGCAGCCAGAGATTAATCCCTGTCTGTGAGGGAATAACATGAGGTTTTGTCGTGCTCCAGAAGTAGCTACCCCTCAGAAAGGCTTTCCTCTAGAGTTAAAAATATCCTGATATATAATATGGATATGTACCCGAAGCCCAGGGTGGGGGAGAAACCCATCCAAACCCCCCAAATTACCATCAAAAGTCAGTTCTGGGAAAAATCATTTTGATGTCACAACTGTACGCTGAGCAGATTCAATCCTGTCCTCTCGTTAGGTTGTTGAAAAGCTGCAGCTCTTTTTGTCAGCCTTGGTGTGAGTTTTTTGCCACCATTTAGATGCTCTGGTGTAAGATAAGATTCCCAGAGAAGCTGTGGCTGCCCCTGGATCCCTGGAAGTGTCCAAGGCCAGGCTTGGAGCCACCTGGGCTAGTGGAAAGTGTCCCTGCCCATGGCTGTGGATGGGCTTTGAACCATTCCATGATTCCAAGGTAGCAGAGAAAACTGCAGCTTAAAGCCTTGAGAGTTCAGATCAGCTCAAGCTTGTATTTCCTGCAGTACTTATGATTTATTAATATTTGTCTTTCATTTCCAGCCCTGAGCTAAGTGGACAAACTGTAGCCCATGCAGTGACAATAAAAGGAGTGTTTCACCTGCTGGAGGCACTCCTGGAGCCCAGCCTCAGAGCCATCCCTCAGCAGGGAAAACCCTGCACAGCCCTTCAGCCAGCTCTCCCATTTCCACGGAGGGTTTGCTGAACTGCTAAACTTTTCTATGAAAAGCCCTTTGCAGTCAGTAAATTTGGGGTTATTTATACAGGAGAGGAAACTGCCACATCTAGAGGGTCTGGGCAGCTCGCTGCAGAGGAGCAGGGAAGTTCAAGCTTCAGAACCTCTTTTCTGTAACCTCTGCTGTTCCTAAACTCACATTTTGTTGGTCATGGGATAATTTAATGATCTTCTAACTCAGCTTCAGCACTTTGTGCATGTGCAGGGGTGTATGAAAGAGGGATGAGCTTTTTGGCCACCTCTGTCTCAACTTCAGCATCCATGTCCCACGTGGAATTAAACCACTCCTCCAGCCAAGCTGGGAATCAGAGAATCACAGACTGGTTTGGGCTGGAAAGGACCTTAAAACTCATCTTATCCCATGGGCAGGGACACCTTCCACTCTCCCAGGTTGCTCCAAGCCCTGTCCAACCTGGCCTTGGACACTTCCAGGATGGTCCTGAACTGATGTGATGCTGGAGCCCAGAATGTAAATATCCTGCTCCCCGGGGGTTGGAATAGCAGGAGCCCACAGCTCCTCAACTCTGCTTTGTTGTCTTTTGTCTCAGAAAATGTATTTATCTGTCATGATTTATCTGTCTCCTTTCTTACCCATGAGGAAATGGTTATCAATTGGAGGAGCTGACATGAATTATTAATGATTATCCCTCTTTTAACAGCTGAAAGCAGCACTTAAATGTGAAGCTCTTGAATGCAGCACTAGTTTCCTGGATGAAAGGCAGGAAAGTTTGCTCTGCTGCAAGCCCCAACTTGCTGGTTTTCTTTCTTCTTCCCTCACCTTGCTTAGTTCATTAATTCACACTGATCAGCTCCAGAATTCACTGGATTCTCTTAGTCCTGACTCTTCACCAAGTGTTATTTTCACAAATAAGAATTCTCACTGATTCCCTACCACAGGAAAGGTTGTTTTGTGCTTTTGATTTATAGAAAAGTAGGTGATGAAGGGAAGAGCCTTTGAATGCTAAAACTCTGTGAAGAAAACTTAGGGAAGGAGGAGATGGCAGGATGCAAGCAGGCC